AGTCCAGACACTTGAAGATGTCATACTATTTAGATACAAGTCTTAACCTATATGACTTATTTGGCTAAATCTATATGAAGATCCTTGAAGGATTGAAAATGCCCGAAGCATATAATTCAAAGTCTTGAAAAATGTACTCGATCAAAATTATAAAGATCTTTGTACGGTTTAAAGCAACTNTTGATAAATATTAGCCCATTCCTGAAGTAAATATGACAATATTAATAAAGGGCGTAAATAGGAACACGTTTTTGATGTGAATATATTACAATTCACCTCCAGAAGAGGTAATATGATTGAAGGAATATATACTCAATATTTCGTATTTTAAATTTGCTCCTGAAGAAGTAACACAATTGAAATTTTCTCCTGAAGCAGGAAAATATTATGAAACTGTGTCTTTCTGTGCTTAAACAAAATAATAAGCTATTCAAAGTTATTTTTGAAGCACATTTTCATTCCCTGGAGTGAATGAAGAAATATCACAACTCACCTCCTGGAGAGGTAGAATAACAAATGATATAAAATTTGTTTTTATGGCATAAAGATCATTACCGCACGTACCCGTTGTACGTAAAATATCTTGAATATTTTTATTAAATATCATTCTAAGGCAAAAAGAATTCTTGTAGAATGCTTTGTACTACAACCACATTAATATTTTATGGTTAGTTATCGAGTTCCCCGAAGGAAATAACAACTCATGTATCTTTCCCTGAAGGATGTAATGATTATGTGGTTGCCGCTTTGATATAAAATATTCAGATGTTAATGGCGTTTCTCCCTGAAGGAGATATTTGTCACAAAGTTGGTGGTAAAAATACTAAATTTTTTAATTTCTTACATTTATAAATTTATAATGTCTTTATAATGTTCATTTTATTAAGAATTTCTCTCATGATACCAGAAGTGTCTAAGCAATATTTGATAGTACAAAATATATCAACAACTTTTGAAGAGCTAACTGTTTGTCTAGAAGACATATGACACCAGTAGTATCTGATAAATATTAAATTGTGGATAATAAATGAAGGCTCTCGAAGAGTTTATATACAAATATGTCATCCATATTATATGATTATGGTCAAAACATATGTTGTAGTAAATCTGAAGTTTACTAATACAAATGACTATCATATTGAGACTACAAATGATTGGAAAATTGATAATCTTCATGTTTCCACAATCATAGGGGGTAAAATAATATGTATGTGAGAAGTTACCCGCCTTATTCTTTAATTTGTACTATATCATGTATCACAGTAAACCAGAAGTTTACTAAAGCAAAAGTTTATG